CGCAGGGAGATCATATCCTTCTTTATCTTGTAAATAGTGACAGCTTTAAACATTTTTACAGTCTTTGGAAATAATCTTTACATATAATGAAAGGCGGTGTTCTGTGACTCGTTTGTTAAAGGTTGCTCACCCACCCAGTCAGGAGGCGTCTCTGGTGCAGAGAAAGAACGGTCTTCTTAGGTTTGTGGCCGGTTGAGATATCTGCTTGCACACTTGATCCTGTGATTGTTCAACGATGATTCTGTTTACTTCAGCCAGAAGATCTATGACGTGCAGTTTGTTACCCAGTCGACGAAAAACATCCAGCAGTACTTGTATGAACCAGCTGCCCTCGTCTTCAGATCGCCAGGATACAAAACCCGGCAGCGTAGAGTAAGCTATCACACAGTCGCTCATGTAGGGTAGTGAACCCCAGGAGGAGTTGCTGACGGGAGCGTCTGCTGGCTTGAAAGTGTCGCGTCTAACAACATAATCGGTGTTAGACGTCCCAAAGTCCTGTGCACGCCCCCGGCACGCTTGTAGGATGAGCAGTTTGGGTTTTCCCGCAAGTCCCGGCAGTGCCTTGTTGGTGAAGTAACTCAGCAGCTTCTCAACGCTGACCAGGTGTCCCTCCGAAGTGTAGATATGGTCGCGCAGACCATGGGACATTAAAACCATTCCACCTGCGTCTACTGAAGCATGTTCCGGCTTCGCCGCATATGCCTCCAGGCTGTCTAGCAGAGTGGGCGTGTCCGGGTTCTCCAAAACTTCCACAGAGTAACCTATATCTCGGAAGAGCCGCACCAGTCCTTCGGCGTCTTTTCTGGAGCCTAGACGAGGTTTCAGGCGGCATGCGGGCGCAAATTCGACAATGTTCACTATCAAAATATAGCCAAGTGGCCTGCTGCAGACAGGATAGGGAGAGATTACGTACTGGCTGGGGGGTTTTCTTGGGCCGGAGTAGTTTTGCTGCACAATGCTTGTGCCATGTGCTTCATCTGCTTGCATTATACCGGTCGAAGCGGGTTGTTTATCTGGAGGTGGACGGTATTCAGCAGACTCTTCGGTCGGCTGACTAGTTTCCAGCAGCTCAAGCAGGTGGAACTGTTTTGTTGCTTTGAGGGCAGAACAAAAAGAGGTAAAGGCTTTTGGACCACAGCGGACTAGTGTATCTAGCAGTAGGCGCACTTTCTGCGCTGGCGTTGTGCCAGCCAGGATGAGACACTGTTGATTGTCTGATATTATGCCTTCGCCGAACAAATGATCAAGAATCTCCTCCACACTGTGCACATCCCTTACTAGCTCCACTCGATGCTTCCGTAAGGCCTCGACATGTTGCTTCTCCATTCCGTGTGGCCTTTGATAGTTTCTAAAATTGCAAAACAACCTCACTAAGTCAGTGAGTAAATAATAGTAATTATGTTCAAACTGACGACCACTTTCTAAAGGAGATTGAAAATTACTTTGACTGTTCACAAAAAGTGTAGTTGGATTGGGCGAGTTAGAGATAGCCATCAAGGGGTCAAACTCGCTCTCGCCAAGAAATGGTGCTCAAATAATCGCTGCAGCTAGGGGTATTGATGCATTGGAGAGAGAGATCGAAATGGATCAACAGTGAGCAGCGAGCGGGGATAACATTTAAGGAAGGGCGACGACAGGTGACGTCGCTCTGTAACGCTAGCAGACGTCAAGTCTAAAGTCCAATTAATGACCGACTGGCTGAAGACTAGGCTCAACTCGTTAGTTTTGTGACAGATGCCAAAAGGGTTGCGCGGCGAGGAACGCTTCGTAACCTGCGACTTTGTTTTTTGGTAAAGGAAATTGCATCGAAGATAGCAAACTGTGTGACATGCGGCGCTTAAGAAGCAACTCATTTGGTACTATGCCCCCTGTCGGTGCACCTTCTTTACTGAGGCAGGTTGGGCACTCCACCCATGCCATCGATCCTACACCAATGCCCATCTGGAAGTGTTTTTATACTGCCCAAGAGAAGGCACCTCTCGAGCTTTTTGGCTGTCAACTTGAAGTAGACATTTTCAAATACCTCGGAGTGAGGTTGCTGCCGAATAGACAGAGTAAGGATGGCATTGTCTCCGAATTGAAGCAGCACGACGAGTTTTCTCCAGCCTTCGAAGGTGCCTATGGACCCGACGCGATATCCGTATCTCCACAGAGGTCCGCGTGTACTGTGCATCTGTACGGTCTGTTCTTGTATACGGATGCGAATGCTGGGCTACGCGCGTGGAAGATGATCGGAAACTGGAAGTCCCTCACCATTACTGCTTGAAGAACATCCTTCGAGCGAAATATACCGACTTCGTCTCAAATGAGACAGTCTGCACTCGCTGCGACAACATCGCAAGGATATTCCAGGTAATCCAAGGAAGACGAGTGAGGTGGTTTGGACACGCTCTTCGCCGTCAATCTCACAAGCCCAGTGTTACTGCCATCGACTCGAAACCGTTACCTAATTGGAAACGTCGAAGTGGGCGTCAGATCAAAACCTGGCTCGACTCAGTCCGACAGTACATGGAATTGGTTCTTGGACCTTCTGTATTTGGTCTCCAGCGCTGGCGAAGAGGATGGCTCGGACTGTCCAGGTCTACGGCCACGGATCGTCGCGCATGGAGAAGCACTGTACGGGACATCATCGAGGCCAGCTAGATTAGTCATGATCGCAGCCGCAACAAGTAAGGAGGTGTTAAGGAGGAAATAAACTTGAAACCTGGTTCCGCATAGTTTGGCAAAGCATAGAATTGGCCTACAAACATTCTGCATAAGGACTCCTCTGTTAAAGGAGAGAATCTATGAGCTCTCCAGTTCCGTCACCCGTGGAGACATGCAATTCGCGATATATTCGAAGCAGTCTAGATTAGATATAATCATAGCTTTACCGGGTGCCCTGCCCACACCTGAATGCGGATATGTGACGCTACGAGGCTCGCCTGTTAAGAATAGTACGAAGACAAGTCGAAACAAAATGTTGACGTGAGAAATCATACTTATATCCGCATGAAAGGCGCCACTACCCCTCATCTGGGCACAAATATCCCAGACCTGTACGAAAAATGCCGAGCAGTTGGCAACTACGAGTTGAGAGGCATGTGTATTAAGGTAAAAAAAATGTAGTCTCATTCCGTCAAGCTTCTAACACTTCTACCTTCGTTCACATTTCCGAGCTTTTGTTTAGGGAACAACTCTCCCCTTGTAATAACAACATTTGAAATGCTCTTCTTTGTTAGTCGACGGATGCCCTAACTCGAAATTTGATTAATTCTGGCAAAATAACGAGCCCAAGCAAGAGGACGTTCCTTTTACATACACTTGGCATCATCATTTTTGATGGTACAGGGTTTCCAGCGTAGTAAGTGATGTGAAATTCAGTTAGATATCTTCCGGTTTATAGGTAATTTAAAACCGAGGTATGACCTACGTTTTGAAAATGTGTGCGTCGTATCCTTTCTCCAGTAGGCATATATTGCCGGTGGTAGTGCACCCAGCCAATCAAATCAAACTGTCCCGACTATAAGGCCGTAAGGCTAACGTGTATGTAGCATCAGAGATCTGTCAAAGAATCAAGGGGAAGTACTGGTTAGAGCACGCGACAGTGAACTACCGGAAGTCGCTACAGTAAACATGCACGAGGAAAGCAGCGGGGAGAAAAGTGTGCAATTCGTGCTTCGTGGCAGCCGATAACACATACAGTAATCTCGACTAGAATAACGGCTATTGGAAGAACAAATATATTACATTGAGCGGACATAACATAAGAGCAACTAAAATGCATCAAAGATTCTAGCGAGTGGACATAATAGCACTGTGAGAAAAATAAATAAGAAATGTGATATTCACTTAAGAATTTTGTACAGGGTGTCCACGAAGTCTGGGTACATAGGGGATAAATACATACCTTTAGAACAAAACAATTTTATTTAATACTAATGTTAAGAAATTATATTTTCAATATGATTTCCATTATTTGCAATGGCATAATTCAATGCGCCTTGCTAAATTCTGGTGAACTCGATTGAATAGGTGTACATTGCCGTCGATTTCAGCACACTTACTGATAATGCGTTCTCTCAGGTGGTTTAGATTTGCAATCTTCATTGAGTAAAGTTTCTCTTTTAACATACCCCAGAAAATTAAATCAAGGGGAGAACGGTCTGGTGAACGAGGGGACCACTTCACATGACCTCGTCTTCCAATCCGGTGAGGAAAAGTGCCATTCAGCCAATCTCTAACATTTGTAGCAAAATGGGCA